ATGCTGCTCTCTCTGGGAGGTCCAATCTGCCTGGTCTTTTTTTTTTTTTTAACCCTCCCCCTTTCCCTGGTCTTTTCTCTTTGATGCCCAAGCAATTCCTTCCCTCCAGCAGGCACCCCTGTGGCCCCCCTCCCTGGTCTAGCTTTTCACTGCAATCTTCTTGCCTTGGATTAGGCAGGGACTACGTGCAGCTTGAGCTGTTTGCCAACAAATAAAAGCAGTCAATATAACCTTTGATAAAAACTAGAGGGATTGGGGTTGGAACTGATAGTGGACTTCCAAACGGATTCCTCTGAGCAGATGACCAGGTAGGGTATCTCTCTCCCTCTCTCTCTCCTTTCTTGATGAGGAGGATCCTTGGTGGCATAATGGTTACATTGGACTGCTGACCACAAGGTCATCAGTTTGAAACCACCAGCTGCTTGGGGGGGCGGGGGTGAAGCTTTCTATTCCAGTAACAGTGACCGTCTGAGAAACCCACAAGGGCGGTTCTACCCTATCCTATAGGGTCTCTATGAGTCAGAACGGACCTGTGGCAGTGAGTCTGGAATTTGGGTATTTTTGTGTGTGTCTGTTTGTTTTCCAACAGTTTTATGGGCACATAATTTACATATCATACAATTCAATAGTCTGATTGTTCAATCATTACCACATCCATTTTAGAGCCTCCCCACCCCACCACCCAGCCCAGAGTTTGGGTTTTTTGATGATCTCCCTGGAAAGTTATCTATCTTGGTGGAGGCTCGACGTTGGGGAATGTTTGGGACCAGAAATGGAGAGGAAAGTGGAAGTCTTCTTTGTAGGAATAAGAGTGAACCAAACGGTGAAAAGCTCAACTGAGACCATGTCCCTTCTTGTCTCCTTTTACATCTTTCTATTTATTTACTGGGAGTCTCCCTAAAAAAAAAAAATTCTTCCCCCTGGTTACTTAACCAAACTAAACAAAGTTTTAAATGGAGCATCTGCAACAAAAGGTAGAGCCCTAATCTAGCACTCCAGGTTGGCTTCACCATCCTTATCTCGTCCTCATAGTCAGCCAAGTGCTCTGTCTCTCATTTTTATTCGGATAGGAGGGTGACCAAGTCAGCCTTCTGTTAATCAAAATGTTAGACATATGACACGATTTAAGATAGAATCACTGGAAATCCAAATGTAGCAGCCCTCTCCCGGGCAGTAAAAATTCCTTTTAAGCTTCATCAGTACAGATGGTCTTCTAACTCAGGAAGGCTGTAAGCAAGGTCATTAAGATAGGTAACCAGGCAAGAAGCCTCCCCCAGGTAGATAAGCCAGGAGCTTGGTGCTTCAGGGGATGGTGTTGGTGACATGTCAGCAGAGATCCTTGTTTGCTATGATCATTGCACAATCTGCTTTCTGTCACATAGTGTGGGATATATCGTTTGCTTGATTTTCACTGGATATTTGAAACAGTTTGAAGGTAACAAACCCCACTGTTTCCTTCGGTCTTGTCCTTGCAAAATAAACACAGTTTCTTGAATCAACTTGAGCCCTGTCTTTGGCTGTTTCGTGACAGGCAAGCCCAGACCCTTGACCCCAGAAACAGCATATATATATATACTGAATATATATATATTCAGTAGAACCAGTATGTTTTCTCTGGGTCTGGAATTGATTTCACCTTTGGAAGCAAGAAACTATTCTGCTTTCAAAACTTGATCAGCAGCCCTTGAGCTTCTACCCGAAATGAAGACAAACGGGTAGATTTGACACGGCCAACCAGATGAAACGAATCCACTTCTGGGACTTCATCTCGGTTTGTCTTCAATTCCTGGTCTGGAACAGGAAGCCACAAGAAAAAGCAGCCATACGCATGTACAGGTCTGAACTTGGTGAAGCAAGTTTTGTCCCATTGTCAATCCAGGTAACATCAAACTCAAATGTCAACCGCTTATCCACTGAGGCACGCTGACTCACAGATAGAGCAGGGGAAGGAGAATAACTCTCCCACTTTGTGTAGGAAGGATCGGGGTGAACTTGAAGACCGAGGGGTCTTCAAAGCAAGAGTCCACAGTGGGGAGGCTGAAGCCAGGCCTGTGAGTCACCCCGCCTGGCTGGAGTACTTGGCCTGGAATGCCTGCGGTGGCCCTGCAGGCCCTGGGAGCGGGAGGAAGGAGATGAGTCACTGTGCGCTGGAAGAGTGGAAAACATCCCGCTGCATCCAGCAGGTCCAGTCCTCATTCCTGGGTCCCTGACTCAGAACCTGGAGGGGGTGGGAAGCACCCTCTGGGTTCTACCGAAACAGGACTGACCGTCACTGCATGCCCACGTCTTACCCCCCAGATGTCCTGACTCGCACGCACTCACCACCCGTCTGGATCTCCGCCTTGGATATGGACTTTGGGCCAGTTGGGGTATCCTCTTGCTGCCCCCTCCCCGAAATCTTCTCTGACCCACACATCTTGGAAAGTGTCCGAAGTGGAACTCAGCCCCAGGGGAACTCCTCATCAGGGCATGGGCACGTGGGCTGGGGTTGTCTTTATTGAACTCTTTGAACAAGTCCAGTAGGTACTTCTGATCGCTAAAAATCTGTCCAAGGCTCTCTTTCCCATGCCCTGGACTCCCAGTACGTCTTAGGGTGGGGCCTGTGGGCATCCATGGGCCTTGGGCTTCTCTGGTATTCTCCCCCACATTGCTCCACTGATCCTGAGGTGTGTAGAACTTGCAGACTTGGACTTGAACTCTGGGCTAAGCAGCCCCCCTTACATTCCTTCCCCTGACCATAATTGCCCCTCCTTTCAGGCATCAGGCTCATTCTTCTCTTGTCTACCCACAGGAGGGCACGAGGGCCAAAGGTCAAAGGAAAAGTGGGAAGTGGGGTGAGCTGCCGAAAGGTCCCTTCTCGGTATCGGTGGGGTGGGGATTTGAAGCAGAGCTGGCCTTCAGAGCAAGCCCCCCCACCCCCGCCCCCCCAAATAAATCCACACATCACTGGGGGCAAGGCAAGGGCAAAAGGGCTGTTGGAAACCCTCTCAGAACCTGCCTGGAAAGTTCCGGCATCACCAGAGGGTCTGGTTTGGCATCCCTTAGGGGTGTCAGGGAACTGCGTTCACTCTTCTTGGATACCTCCTGTCTGCAGCTAGGGTACCCAGGCTGGGAGGTGGCCCAAGACCTTTGACACAAACCCTGTGTTAATGGAAGCAGAAATCTAGCAGCTCCATCTCCCCTTTGGAGATCAGAACTAAATGGCTCTCCCACCTATGCCCATTAGTATCTGGGATACAGCTTTAGGGAGCTTGTCAGGGAGTGTTGGGTGGGGGGAAATGGGTAGGTCGGTGGGAGGTTTCTAAGAAGCCTAGGTGAGTTACCCTCCTGGTCTCCTACCACACAGGTACTTAATTCTTCTCTGTTCCTGGGCTAGGGAGTTCCCCTGGAAAGGAGAGGGCAGGTATTAAGTCCTGGAGCTCCCAGGGAGGGAAAGGCAAGGCCTTGGGGGTGGGATGGGGGTCTACCAAATCTACAGGCTGCGCCCGGTCCCTGCTAGGCTGCTAGCTCCTGCAGACAAAGCCATGGGCCGAGTACATGGGGAAAGGCAGGGGAGCACCTTAAGGAGCCCTCTGTCTGGGTGGGGAGATGCAGTAGAACTCCTGTCTGCCAGTTTTAGCAAATCACAATGCTACTCTTTCCCACAAAGAAGTTGCCTGCGTGCCTATGGGAGTGCCCGCCCCCACCCCAAGGCCGCTCTCAGCAAGTGCGCCCTTTCTAAAAGAGGGTCTCTATAAATGAAGTGTGTGCATATGGTGGGTACTGTGCCCAGAAGGGAGGAAGGGCTATTTGGTGTATCCATGTGCGGGCCTCAGACAGCCATTAGAGATACTCAAAATGTTAATGACCAGTTAACACAGTTCAGGTGTAAAGGGCAACTTTATTAAAGTGTAAAATGGACTTAATGTGGCAGGCTCTGTGGGTTTAATTTTTCGAGATAAGGTGCTTTTAGGCTAATCAGCTGCTCTCTGCAGGCTGGATTTAAAGGAGCTGAAGCAGAGGTTCTCGAGGCAGCTCCCAAGGACCAGGCGGCAGGAGGACCAGACCTGTCCTGCTCCTGAAGGAATCCGATAGGAAGTCTGTCTGGTAAGAGGGGCGCTGGGATGGGGGCTGGGCCAGTTGACCTGGACAGGCGGAGAGCTTTGACCCCTGAGGTGCTCAGCACCCTTGCATTTCACTCTCTCTCCTTCCGTCTAAGAAATATGGATGAGGGGGGGAGGGGGCATGGAGGATGCAATGGAGGCTTCTTTAGTGAGCCAGGCAGGCAGATGAAGTCTACAGCCCACAAATCTCTGGGTCTAGCTCTGGTTTTCAGGTATAGGAAGGAAGGTTTCCCATGGTTCTTTATACCTGCTGAAGACGTGCCGCAGGTCGACATCAGACCGCAGGAACAGCCTCCCTGGCAGTTACACCTCAGAAGAGGGGTCTAGCTGGTTCTGTGTGTGGTTTTCCTTTAGGGCAGGAAGGCGACAGGTGACAGTCCAGGCAGGTTAGAGTAGCGAGGCTGGTTATAGGGAACCTCCCCAGAGGGTTGGTTTTTAAGGAGAGGCTCTTGCCAAATCACCTTTGTCAAGCTGGAACCCAGAGGGAAGTGGTGGGGGGAGGCTCTGGGAGAGCTGTCCAAGCACCCGGGTCTGAACTGCTGTCCTCTCTCGATCTCTCCCTCATTGCCCTTCTCCCAGCACCCTCAGACCCTGTCTATCACCCCACCCCAACCCAAAGCACACTCACCCTGGGGGGCCAGGCACCACGCTCCTTCTAGTGCAGTGGTTCTCAACCTTCCTAATGCTGTGACCCTTTCATACAGTGCCTCATGTGGTGGTGACCCAACCAGAAAATTATTTTCATTGCTACTTCATCACTGGCATTTTGCTACTGTGATGAATCAGGCGACCCCTGTGAAAGGGTCGTTCGACCCCCCCAAAGGAGTTGCGACCCACGGGTTGAGAACCACCTTCTTAGTCCTTTTGTCTCTTAGCTCAGGATACAAGCCCTGGAAGATGGCGACGCTAAAGACCTTCTCTCTTCTACTGGTGTGCCTGCTCCTGGCAGTGGTGCTAGGGGACAAGGAGGAGGGTCACTCCAGGTAGGGGTGATGGGAAGGGAGGGAGCCGTGGTAGAGGAGGGGGCTGGGAGCCTGACTGGGTTCTGGACTCTGAGGAAGGAGGAGGGACAGAGGGAGGGAACTCCAGGTTAAGAGGAAAGCAGCTTAAGGGACCTTCTCCCAGCCAGCTGAGGTCCTGTGAGCTAGTTTTGCCGCAGGAGAGACTGTGGCTGACACCTGGATTTCTCGACAGTTACAACATCGAAAGGAGATGACCGAATCTCCCTTCCATGTTTTGCTTTCCTTTCTTTTTTTTATGCGATGCGTTAATGTTTCGCACTTTTGTTAAAGCGTTTATTTCTACAGACTCAATATCATTTTGTAGCGGGTCTCCCACGGGCTAAGCACAGGGGATCGAGGCCCCACAAATGGCTCCTATTCGCGTGGTGCAGACAGGTGCAAGGGGGAACGAGGAACCACAGAGGCGCGCTGCAAAGTGTCGCGGAGGGAATGCAGCAGGGGGCTCTGACTGGGGCGTGTACATTCAGGGGCAGACTTAGACAGAGGCCGTTTCAGCGGGAGGTGAAGAAGCTAGACGCAGGGCTAGAGTTTCACTCAGGGCCATTGGGCTGATTGTGATTCATAGTGGCCCACTAGCGCAGAGCAGAACTGCCCTGGGGAGGCTGTGCATCTTTATGGGAGCAGAGTCATCGTTCTCCCACGGACTAGCTGGCTGTTTGCAGGTCAGCAGCCCGATGTGTCCCCAGCGCCACCAGGGTTCCTCCGGGCTACACTGCTTGGAGGCAAATCCTGGATCTGCCACCTAGAGTGATTCCTCTGCATCTTGTTTCTTCTTCTGTAACTTGAGGCGGTCGACAGTCTCTATCTTGGAAGGGATGCTGCGAAGATCACATGAGTTTATGGGGGGGGGCAAGGAAGGGGGGGCGTGTAATAAGAAGTCTTGACCCCCAGGAAGTGCCCTCCTGCAAGACTTCACAGGTTTTGAGATCCAGTCCTGAATCAGGAAGGGCCACAGTCAGACAAGGGCGGGGGAGCCATGTGAGTCAGTCCTGTGGGATGAGGGCCCCGGAGGATGGACCCTTGAGCTTCGGATCAATTCCCCCTGAGGGTGGTGGAGCACCGCGAGGAGGCACCTCCATGGTATCCCCAGGCAATGGGCCCCTTGGCTTTTCCATGTTGCCTTCCAGGCAGCAGCAGCTTTTTATCCCAGCCTTACGAGATTCCCAGGTCTCTCTGCTTCTTCTCTAAGGGAGGCAGGCGAGGCCGTCTACTCTCATAAGGAGTTAGAAGTCTGGAAACCCAGAGGAGCCGTTCTACTCCATCTTACAGGGTCTCTGGAAGTCGGAACTGGTTTGATGGCAGTGGGTTCTGATTTGCTTCTTCAGTGACACGCTGCTGCTCTCTCCCTCTCGCATTTCCTCCCCCGTAGCAGACCCTACCCTAAGGTCAGCGGCTCTCAACCTCGAGGACCGAGATATGCGGAGGGGACTTTTATCAGTGACTACAGCATCGCCATGGACAAGATCCGACAGCAAGACTTTGTGAACTGGCTGCTAGCCCAGAAGGGGAAGAAAAACGAGTGAGTCCTTGGGCACACCCTCTGCTCGGGTCTCCAGAACTTCATCTTCCCAAGTTCAGACCAAATCACCATCTATGGTCACACTGATGGGGGAGGTACCATTCTAGGTAGCACCTGCCACTTGGACAGTGACGTATTGTCCTGGTCCTTGTGGCCCTGGCTGGCCCCTGGCTGGGGCAGTGGTCCAAGATCCTTTACTTCTGAAGGAATCCCTGGGTGGTACACATAGTTAATGCACACTCACCTGTTCAACAAAAGGTTCGCGTTTCAAGTCCACCCAGAGGCACCATGGAAGAAAAGCTTAGCGATGTATGTTGGAAAACCAGCCCTTGAAGCAAAGTGCTGGCACACATGGGGTCTCCATGAGTTGGATTTGGCTCCATGGCCACTGATTTGGGGCTTTACTTCTGAAAAGGAGGTGTTGGGGAGGATGGGGAAGTACAGAGAGGGACCTCAGGGTGGTGGGGCTGAAGGCAACAGGACCGGGCGGCTTCCCAGGGTGACCAGGGCAGGCAATTTCAGAGGTCAGTACCCTCCCTCCTTCTCTTTGTTGCTTCTCTTTCCCCGCCCTCTGTTTGGTCAGCACGGCAGAACGGGAAAAGCTGTTCACTGAGCGGGACAGCTAAAGGCAGAATGGAGTACCCTCAACCCCTGAGGGTGACGAACCAAATGAGGCCCTGGACTTGCGGAGGTCTGGACTCTCTCCCAGCCCCTCACTCCCACTGATTTATCTTTTACCAGCTGGAAACACAACATGACCCAGAGGGAGGCCCAGGCCCTCGAGCTGGTCAATCGATCTACCAGGAATGAGGAGGAGAAGCCCAGGTGAATCTGGGGGAGGAGGTGGGGAGGGGCTCTCCTAACTTCTGACCTACTCCATTATCACTGTACCCCCTCCCAGACTCTAGAAACAGCCTCTTTCACTCACGAGTTCAAAGAAGGGCTTCATTGAGCAAGTTCCTGGAGGTCGGCTCAGGCTTGAGGAAGATGCCTGGGAAGAGTGAGGCAGGGTCCTCGATGAGCTGGGCAGCGTTTCCGAGATGGGTGGCTGCTTTGTGTCCAGACTAAGTTCTTGGGTCAAGGAAAGAGGTGGGGAAGAGAAGGAACTGGCCACGCCCCTTCTTTCTCCCTGTGAAACCTCAGGAAGGTGTTGGTGGATGGAGAGCTTTTACCAAGGGCTCACTCACAGCCACAGAGTCGATCCTGCTTCATTCTGACCTTTGTAGGGGAGAACTGCCCTGTGGGTGGCTGAGACTGCCACTCTCTCTGGGGGTAGAAGGTCACATCGTGCTGCCACGGAGCAGCTGATGGTTGCAAACTGCTGACTTGGCAGCTGGCAGCCCAGGGTGTCACCAGGACGCCACGAGGGCTCCTTTCTCCAGGACAGCCCCCAGAAATCAGTTACTTTCTCTCTCCGAGCCAAGTGAGGCATCTGTGGCATAGGTCAGACCACCGAGCGGATGCTCCCAAAGGAACCGTTCGTGCCTGGGGAATGCATTCTGGGATAGTTTCAAAGCGAATGGGTGGGCTGTCTCCCACCAGAATTGAATTTGGCTTCGCCTGGTGGTGTAGTGATGTACGAGTTTGGCTTCTAACCGCAAAGTCAGCAGTTTGAAACCACTAGCCACTCCAAGGGAGAAAGACGGAGTTTCAATCTCAACAAAAATAAATAGATAAAAGAGTTACAGTCTTGGAAACTCACAGGAGCAGTTCCACCCTGTCCCGTGGGGTTACTGAGTCCGCCAGGATTTGATGGCCATAGGATGCTGGAAAACCCATCTTTGATACCAGAAAGATGGCTGAGCTTTGAGAGCTGAGATCATGAGGCAGCTGTGTTGACTCTTCCCATACCTACCCAGGCCTTAGTGCCCCAGACCCTTGTGCTTGCTCTCTCAGGTAGGACCCGGGGCTAAAGAGGTCTGCCACAAGCTTTCTTCTTTGCAGTTCCCTACCCAAGAACCCCAGTGATGAAGATTTGGTAAGGGCCCTGCTGCTTCAGGAGGTGCTGGCCTGGCTGGTAGACCAGATGGAGCGCTGCAGACTCAGGTGCGAGAGGGGGGTGGCTTGGGGCATGTGGGGCAGTGGTTAGAAGCTTGAACTTTGGAATCAGACACAGCTACAGGCCTGTGTTCTAACACCCCTTTGTTGTGTGACCCTTGGCAAATTACATGGTCTTTCTGAGCCTCAGTGTTTCCACTATCATTGGGGCTATGAAAACCACCTCGTGGGATGGTTTGAGGTCGAGGAACCAAAAGATTCAAGAAGCCCTGGACGTGCAAAGGCCGGGACTCTCTCCCAACCAACCCCACACTCCCACTAATTCCTCCTTCAGCACAGGAGGATGGCTCAGTGCGGTGGAGCGATCCATCCTGAGCGGACTCTCACACAAGATAGGAGACAACAAGGCACAGAAACCAAAGGGGGTCCAGACAGTGGTCCTGGGAAGTCAGGGACCTGACGTGAGTGTGAGTCTAGGAGGGTTTTTCGGAGGAGGATGGAGAGAGAGAAGCACGTGACCAGACCAGAGATGAGTGGAGCAGGAGGAGCGGTCCACTGAAGGGGTGTGTGTGTGTTTCTGAATAGTCTGGCTTATTTTAATTACTTACAAGTAAATATGAAAGTTAGAAGTAGGAGGGGTTGGACCATGAGTGAAGCTTCATTTTCTCTGCTGCCTCCAAGTCCATAACGAGCCCTCTCCCCGCCACGTCTTCTCCCTTTCCATGCTCTCCCCAGGATTCTGCGACAATGACCGATCTCAGCTCGGACTGGGCCCTGTCCTTCACTTACTCAGCTCTTGCCTCAGCCCTGCCCCACAATTCCCAAGAGAAGGAAAACTAATAAAGTTTAAACTGAAATCAGCCTTTGCGCCCATCATTAAACTTGACTTAAGTAGTTACGGACCACCAGGAGTCCCTGGGTGGCATAAACGGTTGTGCGTGACTACTGACCAGAAGGCACACTTAAGCGATCTATTTCTGAAAGGTTAGGGCCTTTCGTAGTTGTTCTCCGCGACACCGATGGCTCCACTATGAGTCAGAAGTGACAACGCGGTTAACATCCACTGAGTACTACCAGCGAACGCTTGTCTGCATGCATCTATGCAGGTGCCTGAGCTGATGAGGAGATAGGACTGTCAGCTCATCCATTTATCCCCCGGCGTTCATTAGAGATCTAACACAGCAGGGGCTGTGCTCAGCACTGGGTCTACGACAAGTGGAACAGACACCAACCCTGCCCTTGAGGAGCGGAGAGTCCAGAGCCAGAGCCAAAGCTTAATCTTTCGGCACGGGAGCCTATCCGGAATCATGTTTGCTGACCTATGTGAAGAAAGCCTACTGCTCTTAGCTGACACGGAGTTGAGCTGGACTGGGAGCGACCCCATGCAGGGCAGATCTGCAGCCTAGGATTTTCAAGGTTGTGACTTAGAAAGGCAATCACCAGGCCTGTCTTCCGAGGCACTGCTGGTCCTGTTCAGACCACATGCCTTTTTGCTAGTTGTGAGTGCTTAACTGTTTGCACCAGCCAGAGAGGCTGGAAAAGACTAGAGTGTCCTATTAGTGTCCTGTCGTTCTTGTGCGCGTTAGATGCCATAGAGCTGGTTTTCACTCAGAGCGGCCTTATATGCAACAGAATGAACCACTGTCTGGTCCGGCACCTCCTCCCAAATGCTCTTAAGTCTGAGCCCGTTGGCGCAGCCACGCATCCATGCATGCCATGAAGGGTCTCCATCTTTTCACGGCCCTCCACTTTACTGAGCATGATGTCCTGCTGCAGGGACTGACAACATGCCCACAGGGCGCGAGACAAAGTCTCGCCATCCTTGCCTCTAAGGAGCCTTCTGGCTCTACTTCTTCCAAGTCAGATTTGTGTTCTTTTGTAGATCCAAAAGATTTCAGTATTCTTGTCAACACCATAGTTCAAAAGCACTGATTCTTCTTCAGGCGTCCTTAGTCAATGTCCAACTTTCACAGTCATGTGAGGTGATTAAAAATACCATGATTTGGGTCAGACACACTTTAGTCCTCAAAGTAATATTCCTGCTTTTCAACCCTTCAAAGAGGCCTGCCACGGCAGATTTACCCAACGCAGGGCGTCCTTTGACGTCGTGACTGCTGCTTCCATGAGCATTGCATGAAATCCTCAACAACCGTGTCTTTTCCCTGCTGCACATGAACCTACCGGTCCACTTGTGAGGGTCTGGGTTTTCTCTACATGGAGTTGTGCTCCACACTGAAGGCTACAATCCTTGATCTTCATCAGCAAGTGCTTCGAGTCCTCCCCACACTCAGTCGCTTGAAGCCACCAGCCACTGTGTGGGAGAAAAACGTGGCTCTGCTTCTTTAAAGGGCCACAGCCTTGGACGCCCTCTGGGCAGTTTTGTGCTGTAGCACCGCCGCTGTGGATTGGGAGAGACGACATGGCGGTGGGCTTGGATTTCTAGGTCAGTGACTCCACAAGGATTAGGTGGTGGTTAGGGACGAATTCTGTCAACGTGACACACTCCTGGAGAAGGGAGCTCAGTCCGTCGTCACAACCCGATGACCCTCACCCCCTCCTTGGCCTCATAAGCTTTTTTGTGTGAGAGAGATCTAGTAGAGTGGAATTCTCTTTGGCTTTTTGCTCTCTGCCAGAGCTGGATCTTGCATCTGGTTCCTCAACTACCTGTTGTGTCCTCTGCCATCTCAGACTTTGAGCCTCTGCATCCAACAGCCTGTGTCCCCTGCTGGCTCTGCGTTGTCATCCTGCTTCCAGTTCGCCAGCTTCCACACCTCAGGGGGAGCCTGACTTAAACCGGATGGGGCTTGCCTATTTCTACAATGGAGGAAGCCAGAGGGCCACCGTGTCCTTTCTATGGACCTGGGACGGGGCTGTGCGCCGTGTAAACGTCGGCACTTTAAAGAGCCACAGCTGTCGTCCAGCAAGTAGGCTGCCACACACAGCAGCATGATGCACAACAGAACGCGGGACAGACACTCGCTGGTCCTGAGCCATCCTCTCGACTGATGCTAGGTCTGAGTGTTGTGCTAGGCTGCAGCCAATGTGCCAATCCACCTTGCCGAGGTGCTTCCTCTTTGTCACCAACCCTTCACGTGACCAAGCATGGTGTCCTTTTCGAGAGAGAGGTCTCTCCTCATAACATATCCAAAGTATGTGAAACCAAGTCTCCCTATCCTTGCTTTTACGGAGAATCCTGGTTGTACTTCTTTCAGTGACAGATTTGTCTTCTGGCTGTCCACAGGATTTTCGACATTTTCTGCCAACATCATCCTTCAAAGGTATCGATTCTTCTGCAATCTTCCTTATTCAATGTTAAATACTCACATATGTATGAGGTGACTGAAAATAACCACGGCTTGGGTCAGATGCCCCTTAGTCCTCAAAATGACAGCTTTGATCTTTTTTTTTTTTTTTTTCTTAAAGAGCTCTTGTGCAATGGATTTGTAAATGCAATATGCTGTTTGTTTGTTTTTTGACTGGTTTTGTTTTTTAATCATTTTATTGGGGGCTCAGCTTCTAAAACTCTTAGCACAATCCATCCATTGTGTCAAGCACATCTGAACATTTGTTGCCATCATCATTTTCAAAACATTTGCTTTAGGGAGTCAAGCAAAACCATTGTGCTCTCATTGAAATCCTCATCATCAACCTTGAAGACAGTAATAGCCATGTAACAATAGCTGTGAACTAGGTATCACACTGCCTCCGTTAACTACCTGCTTTTTATTTGTTTGTTTGTTTGTTTGAACAGCCTGTTAACTAGGCAGCACACTGCCTCCAGGAGGGAGAGAATTAAAAACTCGTGCTCTTAGCTTTCTTGCCACAGGTAGATTCACAGTCTCAGAGACCCACAGGGACAGCTCTACCGTGTCCTATCAGATTGCTATGGGCCTGAATCGACTTGATAGTGATGATCATTATATTTGTTTTTGATGAGCTGCGCTTGGGGCCATGAGGGAGGGAGTGTCTCCTTGTGTATCTGAGGGGAGGACCAGCGAAACCAGAGGTGACGCGTGAGGGAAGGCCTCAGTGCGTACGCCTGAAAGGAGATGAGACAGGCTGAAGGAGAAAGGAGGGGTGTCTAGATAGAGACCATCGAGTCACTGCTGACTCATAGTGGCCCTACGGGAAGGGCAGCACTGCGCCTGTGAGTTTCTGAGACGGTCACTCTTTATGAGATTAAAAAGCCCCATCTGCCTCCCATGGAGAGGGGCGGCTGACCTAGAGATCTGCAGCCCAGTGTGCAAACACGGCGCCACCAGGGCTCCTATAGAGATTAGCTAACGGACCCCATTTAAAAAAAAATCATTTTATTCTGGGCTCGTACAACTCTTATCACTATCCATCCATTGTGTCAGGCACATTTGTACATTTGTTGCCATCATCCCATTTGTTAACTTGGGGGTGGTTGAGTAAGACTATCAGGCCGTGGTGGTCAAATAAGACTATCAGGCCGTGAGGTCGGTGTGTATATCCGAGAGGACCGTGTGTTTTTGCATCAAGGCAAGGAGTGGGTAGGAGAGGTTTATCGGAGGAGGTTCATGTGGGTGAGAGGGTGCCCTCAAAGGCTAGCATCTGTGTTGGAGAGGATAACTTTGTGTCCCAGGGAGTAAACTTACATCCAGGGTTGCTTACATGGAGCTTCGTGTCTGAGGGTGTGGAAGAGAATCTGAAAGCATGCCTCTGAGGGCTGAACAATTTCCCAGCCTGAGTCCTTGCATCGGTGAAGACGAGTTCCGCTTCACGTCATGGAAAAGCAAAGAATCACAGTGAGTCATGTCTACCTCTCACATCATCCCCAAACAGGCAATCCAGGGCTGCCAAATGAAAGCCAAATGCATCTGGCTCAGCCTTCCCAGTCCAAAGTCTTCTGCCACCCACCTCTGCTCCCATCCTCTACCCTTTCACTGAAATCCTCTCTGATGATATTGTTTATAAGGGGTCCTGGTGACACAACTCCAGAACATCAGCAGTCCAACCCACCCAGTGGCTACACCGGGGAAAGAGCTGGTAAACTGCTTCTATAAAGATAAAACCAAAACCCAACTCACTACCTTCAAATCAATCCCAACTTACAGTGGCCCGATAGGACACAGTAGAACTACCCGTGGGTGACCGAGACTGTAAATCTTCCTAGGCGTAAAAAGCCTCAGCTTTCTCCCACTTTAAAGATGACAACCAAGAGACTCCTGGGGCGGTTCTACTCTGTGACATGGGTCCGAATCAACTTGATGGCATCTTACAACAGTATTATTCACATTCATGGTCTCACCCTAGAGATGATTTCAGATCTGTCCAACACACACAAAGGTCAGTCATCTTTCTCCTGTCATGTCCCACACACCTAAACTTCAACCTGATAAAAAAACACTCTTCCTTGCCTCTCCAACTTCCCCTTCCTTCCTGTCTCTGAGCAGGACTGTCTTGTTGCTCAAGCCAGAAGACGGGGCCTCCCTTTTACTTTTCCCACCCCCTCTGTCCCCTCGCTTAGCAATTTACCATTCTAACTTAGTATATTCCAAGACAGATCTGTCTTGAAAGAAGTACAGCCAGAACGCTCCTTAGAGGCAAGGAACGGCAGACGTCATCACTCCATCTCACGTACTTCGGACATGTTGTCAGGAAAGTCCAGTCCCTGGAGAAGAACCTGATACTTGATAAAGTGGAAGCGTAGAGAAAAAGAAGTAAAAGATGGATTGATGAGCTGTATCGGCACAGTGGTTGCAACAGTGGGCTCAGGCACAGACAGCAACAATTGTGAGACAGGGCGATGTTTCATTCTATTGTACTTAAGGCTGCTATCAGTTGGAACTGACTCGGTGGCACCTAGCAACAACATCATTTAAATCTGCTCCCTTCTTGCTACACTCACTGCCACGACCTTGTTCTGGCCCTCGTCATCTGTAGTTTGAACTGCGCAACCACTTTAGGTTAAGCCCAGGTTGCCACGGGAATAAATTTTAAACAGTTGATGATATGACTCCCCTTGTTAGACTCATGTTATTAGGATCACCTATAAAATGTTTGGTTCCGACCCAGACCATTTGAATAACAATCATAGTGGATATGGCGGCGGAGTGGTTATGTATTGGGCTGCTGACCTCAAGGTTGGCAGTTGGAAACCACCAGCTGCTCTGAGGGAGAAAGAGGAGGCTTTCTACTCCTGTAAAGAGTTACAGCTTTGGAAATCCTGTGGGATAGTTCTTCTCTGTCCGACAGGATTTCTATGAGTCAGAATAGACCGGATGATCCCCACAGCCCCCAATACTCCGGGCACTGCAATAAACATAATATACTTTCTCACTTAAGTCCCACAACAACGTCATGAGGTAAGTATGCTAGTTTATAACTGGTGGAAAAATAAAACAGAGATCAAGGAATTCCCCTAAAAATTACTGGCGACCGAGTAGTGGAATTGAGCAGTACAGCCAGACAGTCCAACTCGAGTCCAAGTTTTTAACCGTAACCCCCTGGCAAACCCACTGCCGGAGGCGGTTCCCACAAATCCACAGTTCAGAGCAGGGCGGACTCTGCTTTCGGCCTCACGGAGCCCTCGGTGGCCCCCACAGCAGGGGCACCGGGCAAGCGGTCAGTGCACCGCCTCCGGGCCACGGCCAGCTTTCAGCCGTGCTCCAGAACGGGCCCCGTTACCTCTACTTTGTCCGCCAGCAAGCTTGCGGGAGCGAGCCCACGCGGAAAAGGCGGAGGGGGCCACCAGCGAGTAGGCGGGACCAGCCCGGCCCGGCAGCCGGAAGTCGGGCGGGCCACTTCCGGCGCGCGGAGATGACGCGCGACTCGGGCTTCCGCGTGGGGGAGCCGCTGGCGGGTCCCCGGACGTGGAGCTCCGGGTGTCTGCCAACCTGGCGGCTGGCGGGGTCCAGGGCTGCGATGCATCGCCGCGGGGTGGGAGCCGGCGCCATCGCCAAGAAGAAGCTTGCCGAAGTGAGTCGGGGAAACGCGAGCCGCAGCCCAGCCCTTGCTCGCGAGGTGCTTTGTACCCTGCAGCCTCCTCTCCCTCCAGAGCCTCGGGCAGGTTTCCTGGTGCAGGAGAACGGAATTCCGCCAGCTCCCGGTAGACTCGAGGGTCAACACCCCCAGAATCCAGCTACCTTTCCCCACGCACTTCCCCAGATTTGGCTAGAGACTTGTGGCTTTTCTGCCTCTTCACTCCATCCCTCTCCTTAAAAAAACGGGGGAATAAAAAGTACAATTAAATTCAGGGAGACGCCCCTTGCCCCAGACGGCAATCGCGACAGCTCAACGGGAAGCCCTCCGTGTTTACTCTTGAAACTCCCGCGGGTCTCTTTCTCTGGCAGGCCAAGTACAAGGAGCGAGGGACTGTCTTGGCTGAGGACCAGCTGGCCCAGGTGAGTCGGTTGGCGGACTCCAGTCCGGAAGGCTTTAGTGAATCAGAATGTTTGGATGGAACTTAGAGTGTTCTAATGGGCCGGGATCTTTTAAGGAGCTGGCTTATCATAATAATAATACCACGGTCCCAGGCCCTCACCCATTTTCTTTACAGATACACCAACTAGCTCAATCCTTGTAACAGGAGAGAACTCTGTGGTTCACAGTTTAGCACAGAGGACACTGTGGTGTTAAGCCAAGGAGTTTCTCCAAGGTTACCAAATAAGTGGTAGACCTGTTTGATTTAGGTTTTGGGGAATTTTACCTTAAACAGCGCAAAATGAAAGGAAAATATGCCCAAGCAATGGTCCTCACCTCCACCCTTATTAGCTGTGGAAGAGTGTGGGGGTGAGGGGAGGGCAGCGCCTACACACAGCTCCAGTGAGCGTTAAGCGTTCCTTTGCTGCACGTGTTCTAAGTTTTAAAAGACAGATAAGTAGGGAAATGGGTCCTTAAACCCAGGAACAACAGTCAATGCAGACTGTGCTTTTCAGGAGTCCTGGGGTGGTGTAACTGGCTCATCAGTGCGGCTGCTAACTACAAGCTTGGTGATTTTGAGCCCTTCCGGAGACACCTTGCCGTGGTGTCTTGTTGGGCTGTCTATAATGCTGGCCGTTCAAAACCACCAGCTCTTCTTCAGGAGAAAGATGGGGCTTTCTACTCCTGTAAACAGTTCCAGTCAACGGAAACCCACAGGGGCAGTTCTACCTCTAGGGCTCTCTCTATGCGTCCAACTTGACTCGATGGCAATGAGTGAGTTTAGAGGCACTTGGAAGAAAAGCGTGGCAATCTCCTTCTGAAAGCTCAGTCCATGCAAAGTCCTATGGAGCACATTTCTGCTCTAGCACACACGGACCCGATGGTCCAGGACTGCTTCTCACACGCGCCCTCACCTTTGGAAGATAACATGCAGGAATAGATGGAAAGTGGCAACGGTAAGAATGTGGGAGTTTAGTGAATGAGGGGCGGGAGTGCGGAGTGGAGACCCAAAGCCCATTAGTAGGCCACTGGAGATCCCCTTGCAGAGGGCTCTTGGGGAGGAGATGAGCCAGTCATGGTGCGATATAGCAACAATGAAAAACACAACTTTCCTCTAGTTCCTAAATGCTTCCTCCCCACCCCCCCACAATCATGATCTGAATTCGATCTTGCAAGTCTGGCTAGACCAGAGGATGTACACTGGTACAGATAGGAACTGGAAACACAGGGAATCCAGGGCGGATGATCCCTTCAGGACCAGTGGTGTGAGTGGTGATACTGGGAGTGTAGAGGGAGAGTGGGTTGGAAAGGGGGAACTGATTACAAGAATCTACATGTGACCTCCTCCCTGGGGGACGGACAACAGAAGAGTGGGTGAGGGGAGACGTTGGACGGGGCAAGATATGACAAAATAATAATTTATAAGTTATCAAGGGTTCATGAGGGAGGGGGAGCAGGGAGGGAGGGGAAAAATGAGGAGCTGATGCCAGGGGCTTAGGTGAAGAGCAAATGTTTTGAGAATGATGAGGGCAATGAATGTACAAATGCGCTTTACACAATTGACGTATGTATGGATTGTGAGAAGAGTTGTATGAGCCCCTAATAAAACAATTTTTAAAACTGTGGGAGTTTCTAATCATTTAATATGGGAATTGAGGAGCTGTTGAGCCAGGAATGGAGATGAGCCTTCTTAAATAGGGGAAAGAAAAAACAATATACATAAAGTACCGGAAAACCCCCAAATGATTTATATTTGCTCTTGGAATGCAAATTTGGTAGACCCGCACGGCCAGCTCAGGGATTCTATATCTGTAGCTGCGCCCCCAGGAGTGGCCCCTGGCTCTTAGAGATTAAACAACCAGTGCACGCTTCTTCACCCCAGCCTTCACATTTCTCCCATCCAGCCTTCTGTCAGTGGCTGGAGATGTCCCGAGGCATCAACACTGCCTTCCCTCATCTCTGAGACAAATGGATTATCATGTCCGCCTTCACCTTAGTGTTTCTCTGGAATAAAAGAAGAGCACCGCCTTAGCTGTGCTTACTGACGGTTGGTGCGTCTCAATTGTAGAACAGGAACACATGAGAAAAAGAAGAGGGGGTGATATCTTACAATCACAGAATTAGTGCAGCATCTCATTTTGGCTGACAGTAGCCAGTTTCTTGCCACTGGACCAGGGACCTGTTGTGCCTATCGGAACATTACTTGGCTGGGCTGCCCACAAGGTCTTCTTGTCCATCTCTAGATGTCGAAGCAGCTGGACATGTTCAAGACCAACCTGGAGGAATTTGCCAGCAAACACAAGCAGGAGATCCGCAAGAATCCCGAGTTCCGGGTGCAGTTCCAGGACATGTGTGCCACCATTGGGGTGGACCCCCTGGCCTGTAAGCAGTTGTCGAGAGGGTTTCTCAGAGGGTTCCTGAGAAATAGAGGCGCTCGGAGGGTTCATCACTACTGTCTGGGCACCCTTTGTAGAAGCGCTTACAGGGAGACCCGGGAATGTTGCCTTTAAGGGGCGGCCACGAGTAAGAATCAGCACAATAGCAACTGGTTCCAGGAGGCGGGCTGAGGCCGCAGGGTCCAGTCAGTGACCAGTCTGACGAAAAAGGGAGGAGCCTGGCCTGCCGGCTGGGTTGCCACTTCTTTTGAGTGACCTTCAGTAGGGTTTTCTTCTCTCTCCATCCCCAACCCCCTGGCTATATTTTTCCCTAATAAAAAACATTGCATTTTAACAAAAGTAATTTTGTTTATCCTGCCGTCCCATCGACAGTTATATAAAGGTGGAACTGGCATCTTCTGCCCCTGCCCCATAATTTCAAAGATGAGTACTATTAACAGTTGAAGGTAGCTCTTGATAGATCTTCATGCATTTAAGCATCATACTCTCATTAATATTCTGTAACTTGCATTTTTTCACTCAGTAGAATATTGTCTTCCATGGAGTCGTTTTGAATGTCAGGTTTGCGTATTCCTTTCTTGAGTGTCCTTGTCTAGACCACATCTCCCATTATATGTCACTGTATGCTTTGGGAAGGGAATGCGCTTTATTATTATTTTAAGCCCAAGCCAGAATGAAAAGAGAAAAATCAACGGTAGTCATTCAGTACAACCCCAGCCATCTAGAACTGCCCCCCACCCCCCATTGGAACTGCGTGAGCCTGGTCATTAGCAGGACTTCTCGAGAGTCCAGGGGTTTCCAGGGTCCTGAGTAGCACAAGGAGCGAATGACCTGGAGTAAGAAGACTGCAGAGGCCTGACGTCTTAATCCAGCCTTGGATGGGAAGAGGAGATATTCTTTAATGAAGAACCTGTCTTTTATCTTTCCTTTAGCTGGAAAAGGATTTTGGTCTGAAATGCTGGGCGTGGGAGACTTCTATTACGAACTGGGGGTCCAGATGATTGAAGTGTGCCTGGCTTTGAAACACCGGAATGGAGGTGAGGTCGGTAGGGCCAGGGCAGGGGGCTTGGGCCTCCAGGCCTGCAGGGGTGATAACTGCTTGCCGTGAAGGCTATGGCAGGTTCAGTTACCAGGGCTAATTGGGATTCTCTGAATGACTGTTTCTAGTCTCCAGAGATCTCTGGCCAGGAGGGTCTAGCCCCCGATCATTATAGAACATAGTAAAAAAGTAGGAAATTGGCCTTTTCCTCTTAATCTATTACGTGCTGATTATGATTTCTCATTAATCCTGCCCTGCCTATGTTGATGCCAGCCGAGCGTGTAAGTTCCCCAGAATAGGACCGGACAAATGATCACCGAGTCATCTTACCACGTACAGTGAATGGCCTGTGTGGAAGTTATGAAGAAAGGAAGGGAGAAACTGCAAACAAGGATGAAACTCAGTTGTAAACCACGGACTACACGTGGACGCAGCCTCAGCGTTAAGAGAATAGTTGTCGTTTTTCCTAGATGATTTGAAGTTTTTCAAAAGTGTATAAAAGCATCTTTCTGTTTTTAGCCTTTCATAGGCCTCATTCTGACACTGGAAAGACTGCTAGGGTTTCAGAGGCCATTTTTCATGTAGAGCCAATTCTTGACTAAGAAGGGGAAGAAATTTAGGAACTAGACCACCACACGCAACTTGAAGACGTGTAGAAGGGATGACTGCATATTTTTATGAGCGGCTGCAGCCATAAAGGTTGTCTCTCCCTCTGCTTTCTGTCCCCTGTCCCTTAGGTCTGATAACCCTGGAAGAACTGCACCAGCAGGTGTTGAACGGAAGGGGCAGGTTCGCCCAGGATGTCAGCCAGTAGGTCTTGCCATCTAACCCCTTGGAGGATAGAAAGAGGTCTTTAAAATCCGTTGTAATTGTTTTTCCCCTCTGCTCTTTCTGTATCTGGGTTTGCTTTAAAAACTACTTTTAATTACTCTTTAGAATTGGGGCAGAAGTGTTTCCATTTCAGAAAACATCGAAAATACACAGAGAGGAAAACAAAAAAGTCGCCCGTAATTTCTCAACTGTTAGTTACAGCTGTTGGACCCTTCAGTGTTCTTCACTCAGCACGTTTCCGTGTGTGTGTGTGTGTGTGTGTGTGTGTGTGTGTGTGTGTGTGTGAGAGAGAGAGAGAGAGAGAGGGAGACATAATTGAGACCGCACACACTCAGGAGATTGTGTGTGTGTGAGAGAGAGACATAATCGAGACCGCACACACTCAGGAGATTGTGTGTGTGTGAGAGAGGGAGACATAATTGAGACCACACACACTCAGGAGA